CGTTACCCACATGTTGCAGTTTGCCGTTACCCACAATTTGCAGTTTGCCGTTACCCACAAGTTGCAGTTTGCCGTTACCCACAATTTGCAGTTTGCCGTTACCCACAAGTTGCAGTTTGCCGTTACCCACATGTTGCAATTTGCCGTCACCCACAAGTTGCAATTTGCCGTTACCCACAACTTGCAGTTTGCCTTTACCCACAACTTGCAGTTTGCCGTTACCCACAACTTGCAATTTGCCGTTACCCACAACTTGCAGTTTGCCGTCACCCACATGTTGCAGTTTGCCGTCACCCACAAGTTGCAGTTTGCCGTCACCCACAAGTTGCAGTTTGCCGTCACCCACAAGTTGCAGTTTGCCGTCACCCACAAGTTGCAGTTTGCCGTTACCCACAATTTGCAGTTTGCCGTTACCCACGGGTCACAGTTTGGCATTACCCATGGAGTCACGGTTTGCCATTACCCACTGGACGTCAAGGTTCTGTATACACCCTGCTTCTTACTTAGGTCTCATTGCTGCTGATGAGTGAAGTGACTGGAGGATTATCGTAAATATGGCCAGAGCAGTACAGAGCTTTCCCCTTGATATATCTGAGTACCCCTGCATAACTAGTCCCTGTCTCCTGGTAGATGGGTTGCTCATTCTGTAGGGATTGCCACTAACCCACACCCACTTAGATAACCCCATCTCAGCAGAAGAGCTGAGTGTGCTGATAATAGTCACCATACCACTGTCATCTCCAATGCAGAGACGCGCAGAGCAGGTTCTCGATAGGCTGGAAACATATTGTTGTTCATCACTCTTGTGCTTCATGGAGATTTGATAATATTTTGATTTAATCCATTTAACTGCTGCTCTTGACCAGATCACCCAGCCAATTAAAGTGCTATGCGACGTTTGATTATTCAGTATTTACCTGTGGGGTCCAGGGAATGGATGGTGTTCAGAAAACAGAACTATAAATGTACACGGGATGTAAAACAAATGCAAAACATGCATCACCGGTGTGAGAAATATGCAAATATACCATATGAGTCTTGTGTTTTGTTTGTATAAAAGAAGATCCCTGTGACTTTGGGGGGATTTTGTGCACAGGGGTAGCAGTTACAAACTGCCAACACTGGCGGTCATGAACTGTAAACAGTGAGAGCTTCCCCCCAGCAGGGGGCGTGTGCCTGTGCTCCAGTTCTCTGGCTTCTCGTCAAAAACACAGTCGGGAAAAACAGGCACGTCGCTGTAACACTCACCCGCGGTTACAAAGAGCAGCATGTAAAACATTAAAACGTTAAAAGGAAGGAGAGAGGAAAATGCCCCCTGACACCGTAGATCTGCGTGCCGTTCTCGAGGCTCGCTAAGGAACACGCTATTGATATTCAATGGCAGGGAAGGCTATCATTTCTGAAGCTCGGTTTTACTGGATAAATATTCAGATTTCGCCACTTGTCTGGGGCAGGTAATTACTGCTATTACATTCTGTGCACTTTCTACCCCCATAAAAAAAAGATGGAAAAAGATAAGAAATCTCCTTTCAGGGATAAAAATGGCAGTTGTAAGTTTTGAATAGCGTAAATGATAAAAGCCTCACTTTTGGAGTCAATATCAAACCTAAAGTACCTTAAAATGCGGAGCGGCATTGTGGTGTGCGGTAGAGATAGGCATGACATTTCTGGGGGATGCACTTTGCCGCGTCTGACTGGGCGCTCCCTTTTGTCCCTGTGAGTCATCCGCTACATTAGACCCGCACCAAACTGCCCCTCTTCCCCACTCCCCCCTTTTCTGAATCTCACCAGTGCGCTTTCTGGTTTTTTATTGTTGTTATCCTCACATTTGTAACTTGCCGTCGGTCTTTTCCGCGTGTGAATATTCACACTTCGACGAATGTAATTAACTGTCTGCACGTGCTGGATTTTACCCTGTTTAACTGAAGCGGGCTGGCGGACTGAGGGCGAGTGACGTCCTGTCCTGTTATGTTGACTCCGCCAGCACTGACGTATGGAATCCGTCATCTCAGCCACATCGAGTATTTAATTTTTTTAATATATGGAGGCCCAGCTGTTTGGCGATGGAGAACTCCTGGGGTGACTTATTTTAAAATCCACTCCGGTGACATAAATATATCGCAGATTCAGCAGCAACAGCGGCAGCAGGCCGAATCCGAATGGCTGTTGGGGCACGTTCCAGTTCCCGGCTCGGAGTGCGACGCAGCCAGGGACGACTCCCTCAGCCTGTAACATCTCTCTGAAGCCATTCCTCTGTCAACAGTGACGAGACTGACGGCCTTAGCCACTCCCGGTGGGGCTTGTTGCTGTTTCCATGGTAACAGTCTCTGCAGGGACGTGGTCCGGGTGCTGCCTCCCTCAGAGACAGCGAGACCCCCACCGATCGGATCAGATAAGCCCGGCTGGACAGAGGAAAGCAGCCTTTATGGCACATTATCTGACGAACCACTCGCAGTACAGTAATGAGCTCCTCTTCCTCGTGCTCTCTCGTCTTTTTAATGATCCGGCATGAAAGTAGCACAGGGAAACGTACTGGACCGGTCAGTTTTATGGATAATTTCCCTCCCTGGGGTGGAGAACTGAGATGGCCAAAAAAGGGTGAAAAAAAATGGATAAATGTCCTTATTCATTTTGCGGCTGGAAAGAAACAAAGCTGCTGAGGAAGAGCTGCCTTCGCTTTGGCCTGCTTAAGGAGACACCTCCGTAGCTTCAGGAGACACCTCCATAGCTTCCGGAGATACATCCAGAGCTTCTGGAGACATCTCCACAGCTTCCGGAGATACATCCAGAGCTTCAGGAGACACCTCCATAGCTTCCGGAGATACATCCAGAGCTTCTGGAGACATCTCCATAGCTTCCGGAGATACATCCAGAGCTTCAGGAGACACCTCCGTAGCTTCAGGAGACACCTCCATAGCTTCCGGAGATACATCCAGAACTTCAGGAGACACCTCCGTAGCTTCAGGAGACACCTCCGTAACTTTGGGAGACACCTCCGTAGCTTCAGGAGACATATCCATTGCTTCCGGAGACACATCCAGAGCTTCAGGAGACACATCCAGAGCTTCAGGAGACACCTGCAGAGCTTCAGGAGACACATCCAGAGCTTCAGGAGACACCTGCAGAGCTTCAGGAGACACCTGCAGAGCTCCTGACTCCTTTACCACAGGAAGCACATACACAATTGGGCAGCAGGGGAAGTTGATGGCTTAGCAGTGTGGTTGACTCTCAGCTCAACCACACCCCCCACAGTAATGACCCTTTACTCCCTCTACTTCCTCACGGTGCAGTAATGACCCTTTGCTCCCTCGTCTTCCTCACAGTGCAGTAATGACCCTTGACTCCATCCTCTTCCTCTTGGTGCAGTAATGACCCTTTACTCCCTCTTCTTCCTCACAGTGCAGTAATGACCCTTGACTCCATCCTCTTCCTCACAGTGCAGTAATGACCCTTGACTCCATCCTCTTCCTCATGGTGCAGTAATGACCCATACTCTTTCTCACAGTACAGTAAAGTCATTCTCCTCGCTTCTGCAGCTGACACGTGTTCCAGTGGAGGTGTGTAGCCAGTACTCCAGTTGCAGTGAATGCTTGGGCTCCGGAGATCCACACTGCGGTTGGTGTGTGCTGCACAACATGTGAGTATGTGTACGGTACACGCACATGCGTGGCACACACATGTACATGCACGGTGCATCCATGTTTTCAGTGCTTTAGCCAATGTTTCGCTGTGGTGTGACTCATCCATCCATTCATGTGTCAAACAGTTCATCATGAACACACTAAACATGGGGAGAACATGCATGGAAATGTACATATAAGAATATACTATAGGTATTGCATGACACTGCTCTATACAGACAAACAGGAAATGATGTATATGTGTGTTTGTGTATGATACTGCTGGGAGCAGTTTGACCTCTGGCTGGCGGGTCTGTGCTGGTTTGGAATTGGGGATGGGGGGGGTCATCTCTTTTCCATGTGTATGCAGGGGGTACTGTGCCATGTGACCCAAACAGCACTGATTCCTGGGACAGATTCCTGGTTTGTAGGGATGACAGAGAAGTGTGCCAGTGCCGTGACCTCTCGCTGACCTCTCCCCATCCGGGATAGTGTTCCTCGGACAGAGATGTGGGATTCATTTACTCTGATCCCTGTCCTAATTCCCCGGGCGGAGAGCCCAGCAATGCCTCCAGTTGGTGTAGAAGGAGGGGCTCCTCTTTTCATGGCAGCAGCTGGGGTGATTCTTTAGGCCATCACATGCACACAACGACCCCCCCTCCCAGGGCTTGCCTAATGCCTTCTCTCTCCGTCTTCCTGCAGTCAGACTCGGGCCCAGGGGCCGGGAGCCTTACTGACGAGAACTGAAACTGTCTTACACAATATAACCTGAGATTCTCCCGGAAAACACCAGGCTGGAAAAATGACATACAGTCTGGTTCATCTTGTGGGGGGGGGGGCTCAGGGCATAATGTCTGTTTGGAGTGGGGTGGCGAGGGGGCACTGACCTGTGCTCCTGTAATCTGGGTGATGAATTCCACACTTGTCAACAACCTGTAAGAAATAAGCATAACTATTATGAAAAACATTAAATATATATATGTACCTGAGAGAGTTTTGAACATGCAGCAACCAAAATGCCGGCGGCTAGACGATGACTACAGAATGAGAGACATTTCCTGTCGTGACCCTCAATTCCCTTTCTGTCCTCCCATCTCCCACTCTGCCCCCCTGTCTCCCACAAGTCCTTCTCTGTCCCCCCCTCGCCCCCCCCAGC